ACCATAGAATCCAATGAGGAGAGAAGTCAGTCGCTTGACCTTCAATTAACCTCTTGATAATAGGTTACCTCGAATCGATTCGATCGATCGGCGATTGGATAAACACTCACCATGCATTGTTGTCGGCCAAGCTGGATTTTACCTCCTGTTTACCATACGAATTCAATGAGGGAGAGAAGTCGGTGCTGCACCTTCAATGATGACTTGACTTACGTAGTTTCGGGCATGTATCAGCAATCAGTTTATCCTTATTAACCTTAGTAACTTCAACGGTTCTTTTATCCACGAATCATCTAAATCTTTCGAAAGGGAACTGTTACTTAACGATACACATGACCGTTGATATCTGCAACTGAAGTGCCGGTACACTAATTTACACATAAACGCGAGCCAATCGATTTCTGAGTGCAACTGAGGGGGAACTAAAAGGAGCGTCGTCTCAATGGAACGTAATGTTTGCCAACGGAGAAACGAAGACAAGGTCCAGTAATGTATTTAACCAGTTTAAGTCAGGGGAGCTTGCGATACCTCGGCAGAAAGACAGATAGAAAAATGATGCTGTTTGAGCATTGCCATCTTCTTTAAGGTAGCCCTGGCGACACACCCGACTTCGTCGTGGTGTTGCCGCCCGGGGTATATCTCGCCTCATTATAACCGTTCTTTTGTATTAAGCTGTCCCTGGCGACAACACCCGACTTCGTCGTGGTTGCCGCCCACTATAATTCCTCTCTCATTGTACCTCTTTTTTATATTAAGCTAGACCTTGGCAAACCGTTGTCCATTGCCGCTGCTAACCCATAATTTAAGCTATCATTCGATCTGTACTCTAATTTACAACACTGCTGGCTTATAGTGTTTTTGCTTGCTGAGTGCACAACGCTTAAATCATTGAGTAGTGATGTCCTTACCCCTTATTTTGAAATATTGTGATGACCTTCGATATTCCGTTTTGCCAGCTGCTGATTAGTCTCTGATCCGGGTTATAGGCCCTGCTCCATCACCGGCACTACCACCATCTGAATTATTAGGAATTATTAGGAGGATCCACTACAGACAGAGGATACCTGAGGAGGGGATCCACAGGCATAGCGGAAACCCAAGGGAAGACTTGCCAGCAAGACAGAATATTTGCCATTTAAGTCATTACGGTCAGCGGGAGCTTCGATACTCGGCAGAAAGAAGATAGAGAAGGAGGATCATGTTTGAGATTGCACCCATTTTTTCAAGGTAGCCCTGGCGACACACCCGACTTCGTCGTGTGTTTGCCGCCCGGTATCATTCATTCCTCATTGCAACCTTCTTTATTAAGCTAGCCCTGGCGACAACAACCGACTACTTCGTGTTGTTGCCGCCCGCACTCTATAATTTACCAGCTGCATTCCCTTATTGTAACTCTAACCTTTACAACTCCTGCTGGCTTATTGTGCTGTTGTTATTGCACTAACCTTAAATATAATGATTTATTCCTACCCTAACTTGTATTGAACCATCAATGTTCAGTTTTGTTGGCTTATGACTATCTCTATCCTTATACTTTGGCTTCACCGGAATAGGAATAGGAAATAGGAAAATAGGAAATAGGAAATAGCATTTAGTCAGCGGGAGCTGCGATACCTCGCAGAAAGAAGATAGAAGAAGGAGGATTATTCGGATTGCACCCATTTTCAAGCTAGCCCTGGCACAACAACCGACTCGTCGTGTGTTGCGCCCGGTATATTTTCCCTCATTGCAACCTTCTTTTTATTACTAGCTAGCCTGGCGACAACACCCGACTACGTCGTGTGTTGCCGCCCGCTAATCTCATAATTTACCAGCTGTCATTCCCTTATTGTAACTCTAACCTTTACAGCTCCTGCTGGCTTATTGTGCTGTTGTGATGATTGCCACTAACCTTAAATATTAATTGATTTATTCCTACCCCTAACTTGTATTGAACCATCAATGTTCAGTTTTGTTGGCTTATGACTATCTCTATCCTATACTTTGGCTTCACCGGAATAGGAAATAGGAAATAGGAATAGGAATAGAGAATAGGAAATAGGAAATAGGAAATAGCATTAAAGGGTTGAGAACTCAGCAGCGACAACACCCGACTACGTCGTGTGTTGCCGCCCACTACTCTATAATGTACCAGCTGCCATTCCCTTATTGTAACTCTAACCTTTACAGCTCCTGCTGGCTTATTGTGCTGTTGTGATGATTGCACTAACCTTAAATATTTTATGATTTATTCCTACCCCTAACTTGTATTGAACATCAATGTTCAGTTTTGTTGGCTTATGACTATCTCTATCCTTATACTTTGGCTTCACCGGAATAGGAAATAGGAAATAGGAAATAGGAAATAGGATATAGGAAATAGGAAATAGGAAATAGCATTAAAGGGGTTGAGAACTCAGGCAGTTTACCTGCCGAGGTAACACGTGTTAAAGGGGTAGAGGGCTCAGGCAGATAGACTGCCCAGGTAAACCTGGTGTTTCGAATAGTCCGATCCAGTTAGTCTAGCTCTAGCTAGGAGAACGCCGTTCTGTCAGCACCCAATGGATGTGTGCACGCACGGTACCGTACCGGTACGGTATAGTCGATCCACACCTAACATAGCTACTCGACTCAGCACCCACCAAAAGGTTTTTCAGCGATTCGATTCGGATCGTTCACCTATAGTTACCCTAGCTAGTGTCTCACTCTTTGATTTCCACCACTTCTACTGTTGTCATTGCTAAGCCAAGATTCTTCTTGCTCGTGCACCAGTCCGTGTAGACCATCGTAGACCCAGTGACCAAACGCAATACCAGTCGCGACACGTGCAGTTCCCCATCCCAGTCTCAATCGCTCGACCAGGAAAGACGTTCGTTGTCGAGTGCCTTGCATGGCTTTGGTTTCGCGTATCAGTTCTTGCAAGACTTGTAGCGTGGTCGGTGCGATTTCCGAGGATTTGGTAGCATATTGAACATTTCTCGCCAGATTAAAGGGCCCACTGACAATAGTAGCCAGTGCCGCTGCAATCAAGTTTGCAAACCATTGGTGTTCATTTTGCAATGACCAACTCCATTGGAGTTGTAACCGAATAAATGTGTAGCATCCTCCAAAATGAATATCGCGTAGTAGTGTCGATGTCAAGCCTCTGTAAAAGACACCGCGGCCACCTTTTTGCAACATGCTAAAGGCTTCTTCAAACATTCCTCGATTGTACATTCGACTCCACGTTTTGTACTTGATGGCCGAGAGTGGATTTAGGATCATTGCATTGAGTGCTCCCGCCGCAGTTCCAGCGAGAAAGTTTCGAATCTTGCTGTTGTCGCGTGGTCCAGCTGCTGCTGTGGCTGGATGGAATTGTTGAAAAAAGAATTGTTCCAACGGAAAATAGAGACCACCGGAGAGTGCTCGACCACCAATGGACTGCGACAAGCCCACAAAGGGGCTTTTGAAATTGTCCATGGACAAGAAGGGAGTCCGATTGGTCATGGACAGATACAGGGCTCGATCGTAAGGACTGTATAGACCTGCTTGCATGACACCCGAAGCCAAGCCGCATGCGATGGATTTTGCATCCACCGAAGCCGCTTCAATGGGTTCTGTATCGACATTGTGGATGGTTGTGCTCTGGGTGAATTGACGCATTAAGCGTAGACGCCGTGTGGTCGTAGAGGGCCGTCTCACAGGAGTCTCATTATCATCATCCTGTTTTGATGTCTTGTCGTTGGTGCTATTACTTCCGTGGACCTGCGAATCTTGGCCAGCACTGGTCATTTATTTACTGGCCAGGCAGAGAGAGGGAAAAGCCGCCGAAACCCGTGAAGAAATGCAAAACAGAATTTGCAAACTCAAAAAAGCTGCCAAAGTTTGACAATGAAACTCGGATTTGATGGCGCTCCGACGGCCTTCTCTGTCTAATACCACTCAACAAGTGGATTGGGAGTCCCTTTCTCGTTGTCAATGGACTACACAGGAATCTTTGGCTTTGGTTTTATGTCGACTGTTGTCACCGCACCGTCGACTGTGGAAGTGTTGACGGAAACTCTTGCGAGACAATCAACGTCTGACGTGGTGGGAGTGACTTGGCCAACTGTGCGCTCTTTTTACTGGACCTCGGTTCGATTTTGGCGGAATGACCTGCTACTAGATCTAGCTACCGTACCGGTAGTAGCCATGGTCCGTCCCCATCTTCAGCGCATCGCGAGGCCCAAGCCAAACAAACTCCGTTAGCTCTTCTTTCTCCCCCAGTGGCCACCCTCTTCCTCTTCCATTTGGTCACTTGGTGCCCTTTCAAAGATTTTACCAGAGCAAAAGTTGATTGGGTGCTCAAATAAATAATGGCTTTCAAGCTGAAGCTTTTTGTGCCGCATAAAGGGAGGAATTCAAAGCTGTTGGGTCAACTTTCGAAGTGCTAGCTAGCTGCTGCATGTAGCGAACACGCACTAGTTTGCTTATGAAAGCAAGATGCCTCTATCATAGTAGCCAATAGCTTGACGATATATTTATGCAAATAAGTATAGTGGGGTAGTCGACGCAAGGAGACTCAATGACTCAATAGCCACCCAACATCATAATTAAAACGGATGCAAAACATGATGAGCGTCCAAGGTGAAGAATAGCTGTTGATTGTCGCGAAAAAGACCAGGCGGCACTGCTGATTGAACGGTAAAAGCAATCATCTCTGTCGCCTTGTGCAGCCATTTCATTCATTCATCAAAATAATGGTTATTCGTCTTTTCCTTCTTCTAGCTGGAAGACTTGCTCCCCGTCATTATTTTTGGTGGGTACAGGAATGTCGGAAAGGGCACCGGTAACACAGGCAATCAAAATGACGGCACCTCCAATGTACGCATTCAAATTCAATTTTTCGTGTAACAAAATCATGGCAAAAAGTGATGCCCACACTGGCTCGCTGGAAAATGTCAAGGCGGCATCGGTGGCAGATGCCGTTTGGAGGGCAACCCCTTCGAGATAAATGGCAAAGACGGTAGTCACGATTCCCGTCCAGGCAATGGTGGCAATGCGGTGTGGCTCGATCAGGTACTCCATATTGGGGATAACACCATGGTAGTCGTAGAGCACCCAAAGCAAACTCATAAAACCCACAGCCACGCATTGTGCCGCCGAGATGGTCAGGACACGGTTTTCCACGTCCTTGAATTTTTCGACGTAATGTTCAATCCTCATAAAGGTGTATCCAAAACCCAGGGGCTGTCCCAGTGCAATGATATCTCCCTTGCTGACTCCCAGAGTCTGTGCCACAGATGCCAATGCTCCTCCACTGGCCACAGCAGCGACATTATTGACCGACTCGAGGGACGAAGAGGAGGCAATGCCCTCTATAGCAACCGTAGAAGTAGTGTCTGCCACGGCCGGGGCAATCCCCAAGAGCGAATTGAAATCGACCAATCCTTCCAACAACCCGACCCCACACAACGCCATGGCGGCCGCCACCAGGTTCATGGGCTTGATGGGTTTTCCTTCCAAAAGAGCCGATAGAATGGGGACCACAACGACTGTCAAACTGCAGATGAAGGCGCATTTTCCAGCCGATATCGAGGACAATGCCACAGCTTGTGAAATGTATCCCAAGGTAATAAAGAGGCCGCATTCAAAGCCAGCCATAATGACATCCGGCCGTTGTTTGTACAAGAGTGGCAGACCGACCACAGCAGCGACTCCAAATCGAGCAAATGCAAACTCGGAGGGAGGATGATTGCACGGAGGATGGAAGCAGAGTGTTTCCAGGTACTTGACGGCCGGAAAGTTGGTAGCCCAAATCATCGCTACAACCAGGAGGATACCCCTGGCAGCCCAGATGCTTATTTCTTCGGAATCATTATTGTCGGTTTCCGCTTCCACCAACTGAGAAGACGCCAGTGGTACCTCTTCTTCGTCAGATGCCGTGGTGTCCAAGTGGAATGGATCAAGATGATTCCAGTCGTCGTTCAACTTGACACCGGCAACTCGAGTCAGCTTGGCCAACCTCGGAGCGTAGCTTTTCGTGGGAGTATTTGATGGCACAAAGCTTGTCACTTGACCTGCTGCCAACAGCAAGAGGGCCACGACAGCCATAACAACAGTTTCAGGTTTCCTACTCATCATTGTCGTATGTCTGTGTGTTGGTAATGCCGGGATACGGTATGTTCTGTGAAAGAAACAATGGGAGCTTGAGGACTTTCAAAACCACCAGATTGCTGGATCGATGTCTTTGCCTTGACTACCAAAGTAGATAAAAGATACTGGCCATCATCCAACTGGCAAAGGCAATGTTCTTTGATTTGATCCCAGCTCTACTACTAAAAGGCTTCGCTTTCGGCTGAAGAAAAGAGGCAAGCCATCACTGATGATGATTCAGCCATCAGCCATCAAAATATCAATTGCACGAAGATAGGCAGAGTTTGATTGGTGTCGGATCGTTGGATCACCTTACTTCAACTGAAACCAGAAGCAGATGATACGAATGCTTTTGATTGGCTGAATGGCTGAAAGGGGATCTCTCTCTGATGTCATTTGGCGAAACAGGTTAAGGACAAGGGTCAATTCGTTTATTGGCTCTCATTCTATCCACTGGTAACTCACATGGATCCAGAGTGCTTCCCCGGATGTCCCAAATCTCATCCGAGGCATCGAGGCTTCGAGGCTTACGTTCCAGAATTCCGTACAGATGACATACACCAGTAGAACAGAAGACCAAGACAGAGGGCGCCATCAAAGAAGAGAGACTAGCTGACTGACTGAAGGTATATAGTACACGATTAGATACCATGGACAATCCTAATCTTCCAATCATTGTGGGCGCAGCAGTCGTTGTTGTGCTGGCCCTGTTGGGATTTGTGTTGATGAGCAAAAAGAAGAAGGAAAAGTCGGATCCGTACCGGTTTGGTGGGAAGAAGGACGTCAAGAACGTCAAGGTCAAAGCCAAGATTGTCTGGTTGGAGGCATCGGATGGTCAATTCGACACTACCTTTGATTATCAGGCGCGCAAAGAAATCAAGAACTCCAAATTGAGGTTTCACTTTCAAACCATTGTCGATGCATGGGCCAAGCACCGATGCGGAGGTATCATCATTACCAACTCCAAAAATGGAAGAGAGAAACAAGTCATCAAATTCAAGGACGCACAAAAAGTCAATCGATCTCCCTACTTGGCCATTGACTTTGTGGCCTTTACATCGGATCAAAGGAGAGTCTTGCTCTTCCTGGAAGGACTGAAATACGAAGAAATCAAGTGTGAAGAGGAAATATTCGAACTGGGAAAGGCAAATATCCTCGCATGCTCGGAAGGAGGGAGAAAGACGTGCCAAAAGTCGAATTTGGCTTTTCGTGAAACCTTTATTGCTCCTACTCAAAAGAAAGACTAAGGCACCCAACCTTCGTTCCATTGAACCAATGGGCCTGATTCATTCACTCGCTCATGCAATAATTCATTCATTCGACAACCTCACGGCCTCAGACACTCACTGTAGAACTCTCTTTGTTTTCGAATGGAAATCGAGTGGAATCGCTGTTTTGGAAATGGGATATGGTCTTCCGATGTTGTCCAGTGCCATTATTCTAGTTTTCTTGTTGCGGAGTGGTTGCGAAGTACAGTTGTAATGGATGCAATCGGGTCCGGTGTGCTTGGAGAGGCTGCTGCCTGTGTTTATGTGCTATGGATACCTGGTGAGAAGTAGATATCATACCTAGCTAGTCGCCACACAATGTGCACAGTGTGTTAGGAAGCTCTAATTCCGGCTTAGTTAGTGGTCAAAATGATAGATTTGCTCAATCAAGGTTCCATGTTGATCGCTATCTTACTCCGCTTTCAACTTGCCATCAGGTCAAGCTACCATAGCTAGCACGTCGTTGTTGTTATGCGATTGGAAATGATTCAAACCAAACAGCAGGACCAACGCCTGACCCAGCCACCAGATGCTACACATCATGAAGCTATGACGGGCAGCGTGACTCGACTCCAGGATCAACACAACATCTATCCCCTATCCAACATCCCAGTCAACACCCCGGGCGGCCTGTCTCTTGAACCAACCGCAGAAGCAACACATGGGCCACACCTCCTGGCACAACCTCTAGAGTCAATACAAAGACCATCTCCCCCCAGAGCTGGCACCATCTCCCTGGACAACGTTCCAAACCTCAATCTGGTCTCACCTCTCACCTCGGTTCCTACCGACACACCTGGCCCCATCTTGGATAGCCCCTAACGGCAGGAACCCAAATTATAGTGCACAAGCATCAGCCTCAGGCCTCAGATAGTTCGTTGCACAGAGTGGGTTTTATTTCTTTTGCCGTACCCTGAGAGTATTTGGACTTGTGGTAGGACTGCTCGACTGCTCCGTACATCCAAAACAGCCCACCAAACCAAACCAAACTATTGCACCTTAAATGGGACAGGATCAAACCGATTTTCTGGCCCAACATCAAATAATACTAACAACACAGAGCTGTGCGCAGCCAAAAGCCTGCCTCCACGATCAACGCCACAGCTATCTCCCGGACCAACACCAGGCCCATCTTCTTGACTATCTCCTGGACCTCCTCCAGTCCGAACCCTCTCCAGGACCTTCCGACGATTTTGCCAATTCTCCCATTTCCTCCCTTAAATTTTACAACTCTCCCTTATATTTTTCACCTAGAATGTAGTTAACATATCAAGAATTTTGGTTCTACTACTGTGGTCCCAATGTTGTCAGCTAGCTAGCCAGCAAGTGTAGATTCTGCTGGAACATAAGGGGTTGGCTACACCAATCCTGGATGTAGAAAATGATGACCTTGTACAATAATGATTCTGGCTTCAATCTGGGAGTTGGCTTCAGTATATACTGAAGGTTTGACTTCCCACTGTCCTCCCAGTTTGGTGGTGAGCCACGCAACATTTGTTTGGGGACAGGGTTCGAGGTGACAAGACAAACTCATATCAGATAGATTAACAAATACGTACATGTACCGGACAAGAACAGATTAAAATATTGCTAGTCGTATGAAAAACTAAACTAGAAGGACAGCATTGACACATCCATCCAATTCGGGGTTGTTGGTGACTTGGGCAAACTTGGCCCATGCCACCTTTCCCGACGTTGTGACCAATCCCAATTCACTGACATTGACCTCGATGACTGTTCCCTTGGTCATGACACCCAAATTGGTGTAGAGCTGGGAGCTGGGATTCTTCTTTACCCCGATGATGTCCAACTGGAACGTGGTCTTAAGCTCTGGATGTGTGACATTGGCTCGCTTCATTCTTAATCCAGAGGGCCGAATAAATCTTTCGTATTTTGGGTTCTTTCGGGTAAAGTTATCTCCCACAAAGGTACATTTGGTAACGACTCGTTTCCATGCCTTTTGTTTTCTGGTTCCCGTCCTCTGGACCTTGAACATTTCGTCGTCCGCCACGGGCTTGACCTTGGGGATGGGTACTTCCCACTTGCCAGCCTTTTCCTTGCGCTTTTGTTTGATTGTGTTGGAGAGGACCTTGGCACGCGAGACTCCTTCTCGATCCAACAAATACGCGGGCAAGGCTCCTTCGGCGACAGCTTCATCGTTGGCATGTTGATTGGCTCGTTCTCGATGTTGAGCAATGGTCTTGCGCATGGTGGCCTTTTCCTTGTAGCGTCGTTGATGATAGAGTTTGGCTCGAATACCATGGACCTTTTGAGAAAACTCGGATCGCTTGTGGGCCAATCGAGCTTCCTTTTTGCGCTCTCGCTCGGGGGCATCCATACGCCGCCCATGGAGCTTGAAGTGCCGTTCCATATGCTCATGTTGAGGCATGGTTGTTGTATTCTTGCTTTGAAGACTGAAGAAGAAAAGGAAGATAAAGGGTGATTCCAGAGAGGCTGGAAGGTCCTGGGTGACAACTAAAGGCAAGGACTTTGTTGTTGTGTTGTTTTGTCGTCGGAACGAAATTGGAAGATTGGAAGCTCGCGGAAGCAACCAGCAGAGCTGTTCGTTTTTGGTGGCTCCTCATCAGGTTTTGAGCTTGCCAAATACTCGTGACTGAGTCTCAGTCAGGTGAAAAGAAGCCACAGTCACGAATTTCAGGAATCTTTCCAAAAACCGAGAATTCAACGCCATCAACGCAAAACATCTCTCCGCAATGCAACGTCAACAATAATTCCGGAACACAGTGTTCATACAGAGTAGAAGCATTCTTGACGATGGCGGATAGTACTGGCAAAGGATCCAACTCTCTCCTGACCAAGAAGTCATTGGCGCTGTCGCTTTCGGCTCCTCGGGTTCCTCCACATGGTAAGCAAGCACGTATCCCCATGATGTTCTGAATTGCTAAATTGACTTCCTCAAAGTTGCCGTTGTTCTGTCTTACTAACTACTGTATAGGTACTGCCCACCGAGCCTTGCTCATGGGAAGCGACCACACGTCCCTTCCATGGACGCGGCATCATCATCCCGACAGTAGTGGTAGCGAACAACTTCGGCGACGCTTGCTGGCATACCTGGAATCGGCCCAGCAATCTACCAAGGCCCATCCTCACTTGCCCACGGGTCCCGAACTAGTGGAATATACCACCCGTTTTCTCGGTGTATGGTTGCCCCTCTCCTTGCAACACTGGATCCGAGATTCTGGAAATCTGAGAGTCATTCTCGATGCCCTCCTCACATACACGGCTCCGGCCTATCTGCTCGCATGTCCCGACGCACTCGTCGAATTTTCGCAACTCTCGCAACAATGTCAATGCTTACGATATGGGGATCATCCCAGTCAGGTCGTTGACTTGTTCTTTCCTCCTGGAACACCCAGAGGAATGGTCTTTTTTGTGGTAAGTCCATTCAGAGTCGATCCATTCCAGTGGTCTCATCTATCTTTGTTACAAAAGATTGGTACACTCACAGTCCTTTTCTGTCCTGTCGATTCGATACGGTAGCACGGCGGAGGCTGGGGATGCGGATTTCCAAGCGCCTATCGGTTGATTGCCTCCCCATTTCTAAATCAGGGCATGGCAGTCGCCATTGTGGGGTATCGCACTTACCCCTGTGGAGATGTCGAAGCACAAATACAGGACTTGGAACTAGCTGCCACGGCATTGGCACAACACTACCCTGCAATATGTGTGGAGGAATCGGAACTGGGCGTGTGTCTCATGGGTCACAGCAGTGGAGCACACATTTGTTTTCTTTACATGACCGAATGGACCAGGAAACGAATGCAGAAACTGGAACAAGACATGCAAAAACATTTGCAACAACAACAACAACCATCACCAACAGCGTTGGATCAGAACGCAACAACAACAAATAACCAAGGAATGCGCCTCGATTCCTTCGTGGGGGTCTCTGGCGTCTATAACATTTCACACCATTTTGACTACGAAGCCTCCAGAGGAATGGAAGAGATTTCTCCCATGAAGGCGGCCATGGGGTTCTCGCGCAAGAATTTTGCAAAGCATTCGCCAGCTCTCAAAATGGTAGAGTACCTGTCATCGGAATGGTCCACGGAATGGGCCCTCGGCACTGTCCTTCCTCGCATAGCCCTCATGCATGGTATTGAAGACGATGTGGTGCCGTTCATGAGCACTGCAGAAGCCGCTCACTTGTTGAGGTCCTGCGGTGTCACCCGGTTGGACGAGATGTACTTTGCCAAGACGGGTCACAATGAATGTGCTCTGCAAATCATGATGGGGGGCAATGTGAGAGATGCCGTAGTGGATTGGATCGAGAAGACATCATCCAAAAAGCAGAAAGAGAAGGCAACAAAATCGTTCGTCGTGACTAGCAAGTTATGATCTACCACCACCCACCGCAAGTGCAGATTGTGTCTTATGGAAACAAAGATAAGAACGAGATGAACAGGAAATGGGAAGATGACAGGAGAATTTCAACAACTCTTCTGTGCATGAACTGAGAGTACCAGTAGTTTCGAGGTGTGAAGCTTCCACGACAATGCCAAACACTGAAACAAAATCATTCTTCATGACTAGCAAGTTAAAGGAGCCTTACTAACTGCACAAAGTGGAGAGTAATGTCTTTCTAAAGTGGAAGTGAAAACATGGATCTAATGAGGTGATCAGGGAAGGACGGCCGACGGGCCTAATGGAAAACTCCGACAATATGCCGTGCTTTGCAGCTCATTTTGGCGGGGGCAGGCGAAACCCTGTCTAGCCTCCTGGACCGAACTGTTCCGGTTCTTTAGACCCCTCTTTTCGGCGTGTTTGGCGTGCGATTCATGCACAGTGGCGACACGTCAGAGAACACGCCATCTTGGAATGATTGTCGAGGAATGGCTGCAAGACGCGCGGTCTGTAGCTGTGGATTGATGTGGGATGATTTCTCTTCGGCGCCTATGGAGTAGTCAGTGCCATTTCCTTCTCCCTTGTCAACGAAGCATCCATTCCCTGCGTTGAAACATCCTCCTTCTTGTTGCTTTTCAACAACCAGTCCATGAGAATATCTTGAGTCTTCCCACCCAACATGAGTTCCAATACAGTGTCGCTGTGTCCCGTCTCGGACAGATACATTTCTTGGCACTTGTGGATGCCAGCCAGTGAGAAAAGCTTGGCTGCCTGACGACTCGAGGTAAACGGCACAGTGTCGTCATGAGTTCCATGAATCATGGCGACAGGAGGACAAGCCTCCTTGATGGCTTGTCGGTCGCTACGAGGCAATGCATCCATCTTTTGGAACAAGCGAAGCACCGGGGAATACTCGGAAAGTCGGTCCCTGTCGTATCCACATACAGCTTTCATGGGTGATATATGTTCTAGTCCTCGCATAGTTTCAAATTCATAGTGACTGGACAATTCGTAGGGCGCAGAAATGCCGATGAACGAATCAATCCTCATCTGAGTAGCATCTGTGTGTTGTTGCTTTTGTAAAAGTCGATTGACTAACATTTCCATGGCAATATGAGCACCGCTACTGTGGCCCATGACACAAACTCCCAGATCCGACTGACACTGAGGCAAGCACAAGTGTGGGTATCGTTTGGTTAACTCCTGGGAGGCTCGTTCCAAATCATTCACTTGGTCGTTGATGTCACCATCTGGGAACGTTCTGTATCCCACAACTGCTACAGCCATGCCTTTTTGTAAGAATGGTTCTGCCAACAGACGGTACATCCACGGTTTTCCACTCCCCCAAGCACCACCGTGCTGCGAATTCCACATTTCAATCCAGATAGAAAATGATGAAAGTTAGTCTCCATCCTTTGCCAAAAGAACAGCACAATCGAACAAGATGGGAGCAGTAGTAACAGCTCAACGTACCACAAAAAAGAGCAAGCCCTTGGGTTCTTCCACTTCCTTTGGTAAAAACATGTCAATACCCTGCATATCATGGTCTCCATACTTGATCCGAGTACAGTCTTGTGACAGCTGCAGAAAACGGGGCACAATGTCTGGGTGTTCCATGGCCAAGGCGGGAGTGCCAATGGTCACCAAGGTATCTACCATGGCCCGCAAAAGCCCCGAGTCTCTGAGAAAGTGCTGCAGTTGCACCCGAAGATTCTTGCGCCACTTTCGACGTGCTAGTTCGGCTTGTAGATAACGCGAGGTCCACCATTTGCCAGGATTCGCAAGGGGTGGTGCAAACAGCGGCTGCCCCTGCAGACTCTTGGCCATTGAAGCAAACCAACCAGGAAGCGAGGAAGCGGTTGGTGGCGGTGAAACAGCGACAGATGCTGCAGGAGCCTCCCAATCGGCAGTTGTGCAAGGGGTATCTTCTTGTTCTTGTTCTTCTTCGCTGCTGGCAAATGGATTCCGTTGAAAAGCATCAGTTAAGAGATGAGCAGGTTCATAGGTGACGGCTGTCATGGTGGATTGTAAGGCGTGCTTTCTCACGGAAGCAACATTCACAAAGCCACAAACGCCATGGAAGCAGAAGAGGGAAGAGATCATGGCGAAAGACATCAGGAATCTCTCATTTTTTCGGCTGGAGGAGGAGACTTTCATTGCGGTTGTTAATGCCATTGGAAGAACAGGAAGAAGAAGCAAGGAGGACTGGTCGAAACACCAGTGTTTACTCTCGAAGCTTAGACCAAAGGGAGAGCAGATGGTACCCCATTACATCTCTTACGAGACGTATTGGAGATACAGAATTGTGTTGCATGACTTTCGAAGAGAATTTGCTGAAGGCGTCGTCGTCGATTTTCGGTGCCGTTGAGTCAATTCAGTTTGTCTCTAAGTCCTTCGTCATAATCTTCGCGGGCTAAAAGATATAGTAGAACCATAGAAAGATTTACAGTGTTTCTTGCAGAGAATTAATGGCGCAAAGCTTTTGGAACGGCTTCGTCACTTGCCCTCTTGAGGTGCATCAATGATCATCTTGGGTGCGCCATAATGCCACAAACCTGCGAAGGTTTGGCAGTGCGGATCCATCGGAGGGGAGGAGCGACAGGAAGCTCAAGGAGGACACACGCGGTTCAGTGTTCAGTGTAACGGATCGACTCGCGTCCACAGAATTGGTGCTGGTTGGGACTCGACTCACAGTATCGGAACAAGGGAAAGCAACCTCCCGGGGCGTGGTATTGCGTTCGATAGGATTGAGTTCTGGATACGCACGGTGTAGGAATATACTACAGTACTAGTACATAGTTAGCCAGCTGGCCGAAATAGCACACCATAGTACCGGTACCGGTAGGATCTGGCGTGACTCCGACGTGGAGTTTGACTTCCGATCACGTAAGCCTCGTAACGCTTCACACCCAAATTTCACTGTCCTAGCTACTAGGGAGTTGGTTACAAGAAGGGTTGCTCCTTGCAATGGCTGCAATGCACTGACAATGGTACCTCCAAAGATTGCAAAACATTCACGGCATCAAAACGCTGTTTATCTATCTGTTGAAGGAGTTCCATCTTCTTCTTTTAGAGGTGACTGCATCTCCTGTTCTTTCATTATAGCTCCACTCCATAGAGAAGCTCGCACTTCTGTAATAGGTGTCATTCCGTTTACAAAAAGATCGTTGAGCGAAAAGAAAGCGAAGCCTCCCGACTGGATATAATTTTGTACATCGTGGCGTGGAAACTCTAACTAAAGGCACGACTGGAATTTTGCCGCTTTGGTACTGCGACGGTCAACGTTTGAAGCAACGTCTGGTCTCCTCTCCATGCCCCATTCAACTTCATCTCACAAAAACAGAAACACCAAACATACCTACCAAACAACAAATATAAACAAATTCAAACGATGAGGACCGACGCTTCATTCGCCACCGCAACCGACTCCACCACTGCCGCCGAGACCGGCACGGTGGCTTCCATGGATTTTTCGTTCGTCAACGTCAACACCCCGACCCTCCATGTCACAACTTCACCCAGACATGAATCGATTGGGTTAGGTGCTGGTCTTACGCAGACCCAGGTCTGCGTGAACATGAAGGCTCGTGAACTCCCAGACGACGACGAACAGCGTGCGCCCATCGATTTGATTGTGGGTTTGGACGTCAGCGGGTCCATGAATAACGGCAAGCTGGAACTGTGCAAGAAGACCCTCTTGATGTTGCTTCGTGTGCTGTATCCCAAAGACCGATTTGGTCTCATTTGCTTCGCAGAGAACGCCAAAATTGAAGTGCCCGTTCAAAGGATGACCGAGGCTAATAAAGCGCGATGCGTGGAGAAAGTTCGCGCTTTGAGGACCCGCGGATGTACGAACATGTCGGCCGCGGTGGGCCTTGTGTGTGAGGAGATGCGCCAGATTGACATTCCCAATGAGGTCCAGACGGTGTTTTTCCTCACCGACGGGCACGCAAATGCAGGTATTTCCAAAGCGGACGCACTCGTGGATTTCACCAAAAATTGCTTTACGCATGAAAGCATGACGCTTCAAGGAACAGAAGGAGCAGATGACCAACCGTCTGGTTCCCGTTTCCGTTTCCGTCGCCCTTCGCAGCCCAAGAACGTTCAAGAGGACGCCAAGCCCGCGGCTGTAATGATGGACACCGACGCAAAGCCACGAAGCCCCATCACGCTATGCACTTTCGGATACGGTTCCGACCATGACGCCGATTTGCTCAGAAACATGTCAGATGTGGTCCCTGGCGGGAGCTACTACTTTGTTGAGAATGACTCCAACGTGGGTGCTGCGTTTGGTGATGCCCTCGGTGGTGTCCTCAGCGTTGTGGCGCAAAATGTTGTGGTTTCGCTCACCGTTCCCCCCGAAGCAAAGGCAAAGGGTGTCGAAATCGTGGACGTCCACCATGAAAGCAAAGTCAAGCGAGAAAATGGATCTTACACCGTGGTGGTTGGAGACTTCTACGCTGAAGAAAGCAGAGACGTCCTGTTCGAGGTGAAGTTGGCTAACAGCAACGGAACCAACGACCGCATCCACCACGTCGGTGTGGCTGTCTCCTACACTGATACTCTCTTGAAGGCCCCGGCAAAGGCGCACCCCACAGCCTGTCTAATCAGCCGCCCTCTTGGGACCGATATGTCTCTGCCAAATCCTCACGTGGAGGTCAACCTGACGCGTCTGAATGCAACTAAGGCAATGGCTCAAGCAAATTCCTTGGCCCAGGCCAGGAACTGGGATGGCGCAAGGGCTTGCCTCCAAAGAGCCAAAGGCGAGGTCAAGGCTGCTTGGGCTTCTGCGCCCTCGCGCCACCGCGAGGACCTTGCCTCCCTTGAGGCCGACTTTGTGCATCTTGAAGGAGGATTCAGCTCTGCTGCCATGTACGAGGCACAGGGATCCAAAATGGTGTCCAACATGAGGAGCAGTCATGTCAAGCAGAGGGCTATGCGCTCCTCTGTGGGTTCGAGCTGGGATAGGGGCAGCGCCCCCAGACCCGCCGCCTACCAGTCCAAGAAGAAGTGCGCAATGCAGAGCAAGTTTTCGTCGTCGTCCTAAAAGCAAAGTCAGCGAGACCACCCGTGAACCTTACGTATATGATCGGCCCTTTCTGTGTGTGTGGGATCGGTCTTTTGTGTACCGGTATGTGGTCGGTGGGACGTGCTTGCCGGCAGCCGGCGGGCAGGGACGGAAGCGATCCAAAATTCGGCCACCAGATTAAAGCTTCATTCATTGTGGGTATTGTCAGAGAGTTTCGCCATCATGGTTCTATTGATTATTTAAACTATCGTACTAGCAATACTCCAACACAACATCTAGTATCACGAGGAACGTGGTTTCGTTTCTTGCTGTTGGTGATTCTCGAGATCATACTAGCCAGTATTGCAGGGCCGGCAGTGTCGGATCCCGAAGGTTTTGATGGTGCTGCCTGCCTGAGATAGGGATGCCTTGGATGCTCACTTCTCCACTTCTCCACATGCGGATTCGACTCTCTGGAAAGACAATCAATAATCCGTCGTCTTATGGAACATCATTGCATCATTACTACCACCGTAGAGTATACATGACGTTTTCACTTCACCGGCCTCAAGCGTCCCTTCTACTTGTAGGACGACCCTGGAGTAGCAGGCAATAGAAACAGGTCGCTGGATGTACTTTCATCGATGTCGCTTTGCAATGATTTGCACCATTATTTCATTCCAGCTCTGGCTTCTTTGCAGCAACTAAAAACTGAACGATGTCATGTGCAGCCGTACCGTACGGTACGGTACGTGTACTCTACCAGAGTAGAGCTCCCGCTCCGCAGTACCGGCAGCCACAGTACCTGGTACCGTATGCATGCATGTACCGGTACCAGTACTGGTACAGTCGTGCTAGTACCAGATATATATGCACACGTGCGGTAGCCATGCAGTTAGGCTGTTGTTTGCGCGTTCAATCTTGACACCACAGAACACAGAACAGAAGCAGCGGCCTTCCGAATTGGATCTCCTCGTCTGAAAAGGCCATTGCGAAACAATACCATTCGTTTCTTGCGGGTCATTAGGCTTGACTTTTAAGTCAATAATTTCGCTTTTCAAGCATTGGCAACAAGACAAATCACAAATTAATTGACTAATTTCTATAAATATTTATTTTGGATTAGTCAAGTAAAATAATATTTGAAAAATTCTTATTTTTCCATACTTTAGCGTAGAAAGGTCCCGAAATCAGGATTTTAAGAATCCAATTAAATTGATCAATTCCAAACCTAAATATAAAACCGAAACCAAAATATAAAACCGAAACCAAATTACTATGGTAAATAACTAGTGAAATCAAGCCGAAACCTAAATATAAAATCGAAACCTAAATATAAAACCGAAACCAAAATATAAAATCGAAACACAAGTATAAATCGGAATTTGGTGTAAATCGCCATTTCGGGTCCTTTCGTAAATTTACCGTCTTGACAGAAGAAAAGCTGTCATAATCATTAGCTATCATGTTGATCTAGAAATGATTTAACTCGCGTAAAGCCGAATGATTCTTTGGCTGGCTCCAGGCCAATGTCAGGCGTCTTTTAACTTTTGTATTATTTGGCCTCATGACCGTTCGGTCTACCGGTAAGAGGAAGAGCTTGTTGATGACTTCCACAGCCCACAACTATGGTGCAAGGACCCGAACTAGCTAGAGTCAAACAAGCCATTGAAAGAAGACAGGACAGCAGCATTATCTACACCATGGACGGCAAAGAAAGGATGAACAATGCTACCGGTAACGGCAGGGTGAACCACAGCAGCAGAATGAACGGTAGCAGCCGCAAGGCTCCATCGTTCCGCACGAGCCATCTTGCCATCAACGGTGGCGGCGCTTTCCCAGAAGAGAACGAGATGGAAACGAACACTACCTCCCAAGATGACGCCGCGGAAATCGTCCTTACGCAAGAGGAGAAGGATGAAGTCAAGGAAGTGATCAAGATGTCGCAAACAGATACCAACCGCGTAAAAATCTGGAGAATGATGGCTGTGGGTGTATTGCTGATCACGGCATTTTGTGTGACGTTTACGACCTGGCGGCTGCTCAAGAATGAGGAAACAAACAACTTTGAAATCGCGGTAAGATTTGGCTAGTATCGGTAGGCTTGTTGTTGTTGACAAGAGAACGTTTACTGAATATTTTTTGATTCCACTTCATCTGCAGTTCGATCAGTTCTCTCGCACAGTTGGAGATGCTGCCATTCACCAGCAGAGGGATCTGAGGGATGGCTTGGACTCTTTCGCTGCAAGCCTGGCTGTCTACGCAGAGACCAATGAGATTGGGGAGCGGTGGCCATTTGTCACATGTAAGTTGCACCATTGCTCCTTTCACACTCACGTGTGTTAACCATCGACTTTGCATTGGTTCTCATGACAGTTCTTCTTTTGCGCTCGAACAGTGCCCATGTTTGAGCACTATGCTCAGCACTCTCTGAAACAAGCACACATTGAGACTCTCAATGTCTTACCATTGGTCACGAACAGTCAGCGCCAAGATTGGGTCGAGTATGCAAATAGCAAGTACGATGGATGGGTCCAAGAAGGTCATTATCTGCAAAAGGGGAATCTGGATCGTCTTGTGGGCGGAGACGAAACCTACCACGCCTATATTTCCGACCGTCAACCAGATGGATCTTTTGTGAATGCTACCGAACGGGACTACTACTTCATTAGCTGGCTCTACTCTCCTCCTCCTGCAACCTACGACTTGCTCAACGGAAATCTATTCAGTGTCCCTCCGTTTGCAAAGGCTGCCGAAGCGATTATGGCATTGGGAAATGAGACTGTCATGACACCCGTCATGCCACACGTGGGTATCCCTACAGCCATGACTCGAGAAGAGCACAACTTGCTGCACACGGAACTCTTGGATACTCGATCGGAGAACCCACATTCGTTTTTCACCCATGCAGTTCACCGTGCCAGGCGACCTGGGGATCCCCTCGACGAAGAGACTGAGATTGTGGCGGTACTGGCCGGAGCCACTGCGTGGGATGTGGCCCTCTTGCAGCTCTTGCCAGAAGGAGTCGTTGGCATTTACGCAGTGATCAAAAACAATTGTGGACAAGAACACACTTATGAGATTCGTGGGCCGGATGCGTTTTACTTGGGAGACAAAGATTTGCACGAAAGCAAGTACTCCAGTATGGAAAGGGTAGTCAATCTTGCCCTTCATAGCCATAAAAACTTTGCGACGACACCAGGGCACTGTCAATATACTATGGTACGTGAACGGATCTGGTCTGTATTCCTGAAATCGACAATGCATACGGAATGTGGCGGTGTCTCAAATTTTCCTGCTCCCTTGACATTATCATTCTTATCCCTCAGCACATTTTTCCCAGCAGTGAATTCAGAGACAGTTACGACTCGAACACCCCGGAATTATTCGCTATGGTAGTTGCCATCACATTTGGATTGGTAGCCATAGTCTTTTGGGTCTATGATCTGTTCGTGCAACGACGCAACCACAACCTGGTTGTAAGAGCAGGGCAGACCAACGCCATTGTCTACTCGTTCTTCCCGAGACAGGAACAAGAACAATACGATGGAGATGCGATAAAGCAAACGGAGAGATTTCCCGAGCTCACAGGGAATACCAGGCCAGAGGAAACAGAAACTGCTAGTTTGGCTCTAAATGGGCAAACAAGAACACCTGGCGAACTCGATGTATGATGCGGACTCGGTGGAGGGGCGAGGCTTCAATATCCAACCAAACCACAGCATACCCACTACAATGTAGAAACTATAGATTATTCTTGCTACCTAGCTAGGAAGGACAGACATGTAGATACCTCATTAGACCTTACGTTTGGTAGGCAGAGGAGCGAGGTTACATGCCATTGAGTCAAGTCCCAGAGACGAGTTTTCTACTGTAACTCCCGCAGCGTGCTTCACGAGGACTCCAATGGGTTTGGTGGTACCTAGTAGCTTGCGATTACCTCTGTTGTTCAGTCCAGTTCACACTGTACTCTACTAGTAGCTAGCTACGGTACTACTAGAGAGCCAACAGGGTGGGCTCGAGCGCAGAGTGATCGACCGTTCGTCGGGGAGAGATTAGTTTTCACGACCAGAATCTCTCTGGCAACTGTGACTGGAAGGCAAAGGGGTAGTTGCGGTAAAACTTGGGTTGATTGAAACATTTAGCTTACCGCATCAACCTGAATTCAAAAGCTGTCTTCCAGCCTCCGTCGCGTCGTCGGACCATCTCACAATCTTTCTCCTCGTCGGAAGCAAAAAATCATTCTCAAACCATTCGGAGCCATCATAATTTTCCATTGCCAGCAGCAGGCCACGAACAAAGTAAGTAAGCAAGCAAACCATGGACAGTTCCAAGCATTCACGCGTCTCGATGGACTCTTCCGCCACTGTGCGTCGAAGCACTCGCAGCGGCAAGAAGGAAGCTCAACGAGCCTTTCAGTATCCTTCGGCATTGCGCCCAGCTTCGCGCAAGAAGATGCCTTCTGCTGCGCCGCCATCACGACGGGTGGATGTCGACGATGATGACATGTTTCCTCCTCCTTCCGCTAACAAGCGCATGACGAGTCCTGCTCGCCGAGGAGAAGCCAACAAGAAGGTGCCAGAAGAGTATCCTCCTTTCTTGGATAACACCAGCAACAATAGCAGCGGCGGGATTCAAGGTGGTCATCCTTATGCTTCGCAAACTCGCGTCATCGGCACGACTCCTCCTGGATTGTGTGAGTTTCGTCGGGTCGCCTCGTCTCGATCTATTGCGTCTGTATCTACCAAGGGTTCTGTGACTAGCTTTCGCGGCGGTGGGCGCTTGGCACGAGAGGCATCTCGAGCCAGCATCTGGTCGGCTGTCTCCAACACTTCCTCCACGTGCGAGTTGGCTCAATACAACAGCAACACCAAAAAAGGCAGCATGGCCAAGCTCTCTTCGTTTTCTCCCGCTTCTAGTTCTTCCTCCAACTCGCCTCCTCGCAGCAACATGAAGACGTACCAGCGCGCTTCCGGCGTGTATCCAAACACCGTCGGCCGGAACACGGTTTTTGGCAACCGTCCCTCCAATCCCCATGGCCAGGAATTGCAAGAGGATGATTTCTACTATTAGACTCGACTCACTCGCAGAAAGCTTAGCGCAACCATGGGGAAGCATTCAAAATCAACAACAAACAAGTTTTTTCCCGCTACGGCAGCTATTTATACGAGCTGCAGCTGCGCAGCAACGCTACACGTAAGAGGAGTACATGTATGTAGAAATAATATCAATATAGGGATTTTTCTATTATTCAAATCTGCCGCATTATCTTTGTCCAACCAACAGCCATGAAAAGTAACGAGCAATGCTCATCCACGGTTCCATTTTGGAAGAGTCTGACAGGGTTTTCTGATTATCTTTCGCGGATTTGTTTCCTTAGTCGTGTTCTTCGGACGGAACACATTGACTTATTACCGTGGTCAAAGTAGCCAGTAAGAAACCTGACGTTCATCAAGGATCAAGGAAGATAATGGTTTGATGCTGTAAAGGCCCCAGAGGAGACAAAATGTGAACCAAATCCAACAGTGAATCCGCCATGTGACATGTTCGGGTCAGTGTTTGATTGGAAGCTTGATTGGAGGAAGATTTCTGGCATGGCCAAAGCTGCAAAAAATGCTCAAAAGCTTGGCAAAGTGTTGGATACGATTTCTTCCATGCTGGATGGCACATCCTTGACGGATTTGGAGCCAGCTTCAATCCATTCCACCACTGCATCTTGTGTTGGGCCACCCATCATAATCTCGATGACAGCATCGGGATGTCCTGTTTCCGCGAGATAGAACTCGTCGCATTTGGTGACGCCAGCCGCGCGGAGCACTCTAGCTGCTTCTTGCGATGATTCGACAGGGACAACGTCGTCAATGGATCCATGCACCAGGGCCAGACGAGGAAACGACTTGTCCAATGCTTCCATCTCTTCTTTGGTACATTGGGATAGAAAGTGAGAGAGTAGCAACGTTGGGGAATGCTGGCGGAACTGATCTCGGCCTCCACAAGCTGGTTGCATGGGACTCAACTGCTCCAAGCCCTTTGATGCCTCATATTGAAAGTGTTGTTCAACGTCGTAGGGTCCGGAGATACCCACGATGGAATCAATCCTCATTGTCACGCCATTAGTATTCTTGTTGTTGTGTTGAAGACTAAATCCCCACCGAGAGGATTCCGTTTGTTGCCGTAGTCGTTGTATCAACATCATGGCAAGGATGTGGCTGCCCGAGGAATGACCCACAGCGCAAACTCCCAGCTCGGATTCCTCCAGGCAGATTTGAGGGTACCGTTGGCTCAACACTGAAGCTGCAAGCTCCAAGTCCGCTGCTTGCGTCAATGCATCCGCTTCCGGGTAGGTTCTGTAGCCAACCACGGCCACCGCCATTCCTCTCTCCAAGAAAGGCTTTGCCACCAGAGCGTATTGTGGTGGAGAGCCGCTCCCCCAGGCACCACCATACTGGACCGTCAAATCAAGAAGAAAAAAGTGAGCGATGATTGATGGTGATGTGAACATGTGAACATCATAATGCAGCCACCAGGCATGTAACCTGTCATCAAGTTTATCCCAGACCTTACCACAAAAAAGATCAGTCCACGAATCTTCTCGTTGGACCCAGCAGGCATGTACATATCCACAACTTGTGATTTTGGCGACTCTTGACCGTACTGGATCCTAGTTCTGTGCTCTCCTAGTCGAAAATAGTCTTTCATAGCCGATGGATACTTGGTGGCAAGAGGGGGCAAACCAATCCAAAACAGAGTGTCCATCATGACTCGAAACATGCCCGAATCTCGAATCCAGTGGTGAATTGCCGTTTGCTTGTGAGCCAACAAGTCCTTGAAGATTGGCAGGGAAACAACAGTTGAAATGGCGAACTTTGCGGCCATGGGAACCGTGCACTGTGGAGTCACGGAGTAGACTACCCATGCCAATGGCAAGAGGTATTTTCCCACTTTGGACAAAATGTTGATGCTTTGGTGGAAGAAAGCCTTGAGGACTCCAATCAAGCCCTCAATCCGCTGTTTTAGGCTGTGACTAGTACTTGCCAGGATCACATTGCTGGTGCTTGTTCTCGCAGTCGAAAGTGTACCAATGCTATCGGTACTACTTGTGGCACTACCGGTACTGGACGTCCTTGTCTTTTCTTGCAAGAAATCTCCACTACTTTGTGGGTCAAGAGTGATGGAAACCTCATTTGGAAACTCTGCCCCTGCTCTGCCAATGCCAAACACAGAATGGTTTGCCAAAAATGGAGTTGGATATCTCTCGCCATTATCCACCCGACAGGAAGTAGTAGCGGTAGTGACTAGATTGTATCTTTCCAAGCCTCCAAGGAGACTACTAGTACTAGTAGCACCTACTACTAGTCCCCTGGTCTTTCTATCCATGTAGGCATTCGCCACACTCCAGACCAGCACCAATGACGAAACTTCGCTCACAGTAGCCGTCCATGTTGCGAAAGGGATGCAGTCCGCCATGGTCCAACTTTTGTTGGCTTGGAGGAAAAGTCGAAGTTGTGGAGGCTCGATTGATGAAGATTTAAAGACTTTTTGCGGGGTAGAAAAGAATTATTTGGATCACTCTCAGCAAGGCGACCACAGACTGCCCACCTTTTTACTAGTAGGTGGACCCAGGACGATGAGGACAGCTAGTAGACTACATGTACTACCAGTATGCATAGACTCGACTCGCTCGGCGGTCACTCTCGCTCAACTCGACTGACTCGACTCGACTCGTCACTCGTCAACTCTGCAAATCACCGCCACCGACAGGCCAAACAAACTTTCGGACGCATAATCCCGGCCCAGCACTTCGGTTCATCCACCTGTGTGGCCTCAGCGATGCCAGAAAAAGCTTGGTCTGACACTTGTCACAATTCAGGACAACACCCGGACCTGTCTTGGTTGTTTGGCCTCGGGTCGAGCATGAATTGGTATGCCCAACCAGCCCCAGCGTTCCTCAAGGGCAACTGGTTGGTCGTAGCCAAAGTATGTTCTAACTTAGTGAGATATCTTGATCCCTCGTAAGTCTAAAGTGTTGGAATGTCAAATTCGCTTACTTGTTCTGATCGGAATGGAGAAGAAACCTGTTCTCAAGCTACCATACCAAGGGAAACTGCTGATAACGCTAAGGTCATCTTGCAATGGCTGCGTACTGGTACCGGTATTGGTGCAGTGAAAGCCACGGGGTGGACCGTCATCAGTTGGGGTGAAAAGGATCACAGGATGCACGATGTGCATTTCAGCAACCAGGGGAAGCAGAAAGAAGTCGCCACCTTTCCCCGATACGCTTTGCTGCAGGTCAAACAAAGACGGAGGGTGTTGAACCGAGCCAAACAAACAATCCAGTGGACTACAACTCTTCATCGCTGTCTCCAGGACTACCCGCCTGTTTGTGGAATGATCCCATTGCTTCCAGGTTCTCATCTCCATCACTGTACTCGCTCCAATCTGTCTCCAAGTCTATTTCAAAGTTGTCAGGAATTGCAAATCGAGCCGTTTCAGTTAGCTTTTTGTAAAGCTTCTTTTCGTTGTCCGACTGTTCTTCTCCGTAGCTATCAACCTCATCATCTTCAAATCCTTTATCTTTGTACCAAAATCGTGAATATGTCAAATAGAGCATGGCTCGCAGATCCGGACTCTTGTTCTTACCACCACGATGAGTGATCTGGTAGTCAAACAGAAGCACATCACCAAAGCCAATCAGGGGTGTCCGCATGTATTTATAGTCCCGGAGATCCCCTTCCACATCCAAATCAGGCTGATCATTAATGAACGGGCGCAGCCATTCATTGCGCAATGGAATGTTATCCCTTTTTTCTGTCAGGCCGGCAAGATTGGATGATCCCATGCTAAATTGGGTTGGTCCATGTTCAGGTGTCATGTCCAACAAGGGCACCATCATGGTAATGGCATAGGCTGGCAAATGGTGTTGCGAGATTCCAGTCGTTTGGTACAAGGCATCACCAAACAGAAAGTCACTGTCCTGCAATGTATTAGAAAGAAAAATGTGGTTAGAGGTGTTTAGAGTGGGCAGGACAAGCAAACAATCCAATCCATGACCAACATAATATACTCACTGTATGCCAGTCTTGAGGGCCGGCACCTGAGTCCGCCAATGCTGTCCCAAAGGAATGCAAGTTGAGGTCAGGTCCCAAGATGATATCCTGCATGAGTACCCTCAAGATGTGGTTATTGTTCACCACCATGGAATGTGCCAGATTTTTTGGCAATAAGACTTCCCATCGTCCATCATCGAGTTTGTGTTGAAAGTAATGTTCATTGTTGGTTGTCGTTCCACTGAGGTCAATGTTGCCATTTCTCAATCCTTGAATAAAAGCCGTAAAATTGGCCTTGTATTCATTCAAAAATTCCTGGTCAAAGACATTACGCAACACCAACAATTTGCACTTGTGCAAGACATGGGATGCCTCTGTGGCATTGAATCCATCAATAATATCGGAAACATCAAATTCTCGTTTCATACAATCGGGATCTGTGACTGTAGTGAGCATGTCCAAAATGAGTTGATCGGCATACATTGTAGTATCCTCCATGGCTTCTTGGACTGCTTCTTCGACAACTGATAAAAGTTCGTTTTCATGATTATCATTTCCAATAATCAACTTGACCTTTTCCAAGACATCGTCATAGGAAACTTTCTTTTCGCCAAAGACATATCCATGCACAAGCGTTGCTAGGGCTTCTTTTCGTTCCTCCAGCAGCTCATCCGAGCCCCCATCAGCAGGGCAAGGCAGTACCACAATCAGGACCACCACGAGGAACAAGGTGCGAAAGATGTGTTGTTGTAGCGTGCTACCCATGTTTCTCATTCTCAATTCCGATGTTGTTGGATTTTGCTGGTACCAATATCGGTACGGAACAGCAATTCTAATTCCTGTGGATGCTTCCTTGAAAATAGCAATCCCAGCGCCTCCCTGATCCTTCAGTATGTACCGTACACGTTGACCTCTCCGTTAGAAGCCTTCAGTGGCTGCCACTGGTAGTACGACAGTCTCGGAAAGCCTGACTTGGTCCTCAATACTTTCTTTGAAGGGTCTCGTCGTCTCTTTCGAGTGCATAGTAAAAGTACCGGTAGCATGGTGGCCGGGTTGGTTGGATCCGGTGCGGTGCGAACCCCAAAAAAAGATTCTCAGCTCTGCGGGCTCACGAACACTACCCCTGGTCATCCATCATCAACCCAGCCTCCTGTGCCTGTGTGCTAACACACCTCAAAACATTGGAACAAGCAAGCTCCATCCATCAAGAGGATGTTTGTTGTCCAGTGGTGGTTCCAGTTGTTGTTGTTTCTTCTTTTTGTATCAACTACCTGGTCAGTACTGCAAGAGTAGAAAAAGAAAACTTGTACCAAATCCTGGGAGTCCGAAAAAGGGCGACTGCGAAAGAGATCAAGTCTGCGTATCGTCGAAAAGCATTGGAGACCCATCCAGATAAAAGAGCCAAAGATGTTCCGGAGGAACAAGCCGCTGCCGACTTTCAACGAGTGGTCCATGCCTATGAAGTCTTGAGCAACAAGGATGATCGAAACGCCTACGATCGAACGGGACAGACATCGACGCATCAAGGAAATTTCCAGTTTCATTTTCACAGGCCTCCTCGTCGCCAACCACAACAACGACAGGGCAACAACAATAGCCTCGCATGGACCAGTTCAAAGTACAAGAAGCACAAAGTCGAGTCCTGCATGTGACATCTCTCAAACACTTGAAAGCCATCATGCTCAAAGATGACGAAGTCCACGTCACCACAAAAGAAATAGAGTTGGAGGGAAAAACCAAAGTCACGATACTCGAGAAAAATGAGACCATGACAATCTACAAAACTCAAAAAGTCAAAAAAGTGATTACCACGGAAACGATCATTGAACACGAGACTGTGGAACGCCATTTGCTCATTGCCTTTACAACCCCGGGAAGGATCGAAACCATACTCGACAATGACTTGGTATTTCCCTATCCCTTTGCCGCACTCTCCAAACAGGGAATTTGGTGGGAAGACATGCTACAAACCGTCAAGGTCCGATACGACGATCCGACCAAACTCACTCGATTCTTCCACATACCCCATCGCAGCAAACTCAACACGCCCATTTTCGTCTTTGTCAAGCGAGAACAGACGCTCGACGATTATTCAAAGTTGCAAACCCATCGACGAGACAAATTCACCAATTGGGTATGGGACCAACTCAAGGTCAATGTCAACTTTATCAATCGACACTCACATCCGGTAGAAATATGGTGGGTACACGAAGATCAAGTACAACGTCAAAACACGCTGGAAGCCGATCATGTGGCACACTTGACGTGTCGGCTATCTCATACATTTTGGGTCCGAGATGCCCGCGTCAACCAGCATTTGACACAACCACAACTAGCCAAATTGACAAAGAAAGACTTACTCTCGGAAAACTCCACCATGGCCACGTTCAATGTGGTCAAAGATGACCCGGATGATCAAGCCTTTACCATTGATATCAAAGCGTGCTTTGATTTGGATACCAACTGTCATGCCTGGCATGGGTGCAACAGCAATGACGTTGCGGACATGACTCACACGGCAATCTACTGTCGAAAAACATGTGGGAAATGCACTGCTGCCGATGACCATGCCGCCAAACTGGACAAACAACGATGCAAGGATCATCAGGGGTCCTGTCGGGCCTGGGCGCGGCGGGGGGAATGTGAAACAAACAAAGAGTACATGAAACTCAAGTGCCCCAAAACGTGCAAGTTTTGTCTCACAGAAGGCGAAAAGAGACGGCGAAAAGAAGAACAAACGAAACGACGAAAAGAACGAAATGAGAAACTGAAAAAGATGCGAAGAAAGAAAAAGGGGCATTATGGGAGCGATGTGAATGAAGATGATGATGATCATGACGACGACGACGACGACGATAGCGAGGACTTTTTTGATTTTGCCGATAAAGACAGTGACGACAATGCTTTTGACAGTGACGACGATCCAATTGACACGGACAGTGACGAAGACAACGATGGCTCAAGGAGAACACTTGATAGCGACGATTTTGACGAGGACGAATTTGCTTTCATGGAACACAGCGACGAGGATAGTGACGAGGAGATGACAGGAGGTTGGAGCCGCCATGATGAGCTTTAGACATCTACGTCCTTGAAACTATGCAATTCATCAAGCCTTTAGCAGATCCATCGAGTGGACTACATAGCTCGATTTCTGCTCGGTACAAGTCAGACAAATCGGCTCCCTGTTTGTTCGGTACAAGCATGAGGGTGAAGTTGCGTGCATCCCGAGCACCCTACCCTGGCTCGTAAGCTATGCATCGGCACGAGAGAGAAGCTGCAGGCACAACTGACGATCCGCAAAGCTCTCCGTACCGGTATGGTCAAATGGCAAAGATTGAGAAGTTGCTGGTTCCAGACTCTCAACACTGACAGTGATGGTTTCCCATCAAGCACTTGGGGCAGACCATGACTAGTCAGCAAGCACTGATTGAGTGACTCGACTCCTTTGCTGACGATTCGATTCTTGCTGGAAACTACGAGCTAGTAGAGCCATACGGCTGCCAAAAAAGGAAAGGGCAGACAATGGCCTTGTACGGTAGCTGGAGCCGGCTACCGCAGCTGGCCAACCTGTTCTTCATTGGCATGTTTCTAACTGAATAATTACCAAAGAAGCAGCACACGATACTGAGGAAGACTGCTTGCTAGCTTGAAGGCTTCTCGAGCGCGAAGTTTTACAAGTTCTCACCCGCAGACGGCCCTTGGTCCATCTTCAGCCCCTTTATGGACAAAGAACACAGTAAGAAGCAACACGGCCCCTCAGGACAACTATGCCTGGACCGTTGTAGTGCCTGGTATCACTGCTACATGTGCATACTGGTCGAATTGTGATGCAAGCTTTCTGCATGTAGGGCAATCATACCATAGCAGTTTCTCTGAGCAAATGAAAGATTTACTAAGCTTAACGATACTACTAGTACTATGAACCATCCAGTGACACAGATAGTGCGCTTTGAAAAGCGAAAAAATTGCACTCGTTGCTGTGCGTTTTTCTTTTGTTGCATTTTGTTGTCTTGGTTTTTACAACGTAGGCGACAAACTGCTGAGGTTGGCAAATCCTCCAGCAGAGTGCATGGCAGTGCTGTGGTCGGTGCGCTTCAGCATCAAATAGTCATCGCAAGCATCCGCCACACCTCGGCCTTCGTGAATGGCCCAAACGACCAAACTCTGACCACGGCGGCAATCACCACCAGCAAAAACGCCCTCCATGCTGGTACGGTAGTCTCCATACGTGGCATGAATATTGTTTCGTTGATCCAAGTCCAATTGAAGTTCCTTGGCAATGTAGTCCTCAGGAGAAACAAATCCCATGAAAGACCACCAAATCAGCCTTCCATTCCTTCTCGGAGCCTTCAATGGCCTTGGGTCCCTTACTGGTGATTTCGACGTCTTGGGTGACGAGAGCCTTGACATTTCCTTCGTCGTCTCCAATGAATTCCTTAGTCAAGACCGAGTAAACACGGGGATCTTCACCGTACAAGGCGGTAGCTTCGGCATGGCCATAATCGACACCAAAGACACGAGGCCACTGTGGCCATGGATTGTCAGGAGCACGCTCCATAGGAGGCTGTGGCATGAGCTCGAAATTTGTCACGCTCTTGCATCGATGACGCATCGAAGTTCCGATACAATCAGTTCCTGTATCTCCTCCTCCAATGACAATAACGTCCTTACCAGCAGCCGTGATCCAGTGGTCCTTTTCCCATTGAGATTCCAAGGTACCATCCTTAGTCATCAACAATCGCTTCTGGTTGGCCGTGAGGAATTCCTAAGGAGGCAAAAATGGCGGAGAGACGAAGCCAATAATTATGGTCAGTCTTTCTTCCAGCAAGTGCCTGTGATCCCGGCTGCTTTCGTCTGGTACGTACCATGGCGAAGTGAACTCCATTCAACTCACGTCCTGGAACGGGCAAATCACGAGGCTTGGTGGATCCGAGGCAAAGAGCCAAAGCATCAAAATTGGCGTGGAGTTCATTGACATCGACGTTATGTCCGATATTGGCATTTGTGACAAACTCGATTCCTTCTTCTCGTAGTAGATTGACACGACGATCGACGGTATTCTTTTCGAGTTTCATGTTTGGGATGCCGTACATCAATAGTCCTCCAATGCGATCGGCACGTTCAAATACGGTGACCTTGTGTCCCATTTGATTCAATTGATCGGCACATGCCAATCCAGCCGGTCCGGATCCTACGACGGCGACAGTCATTCCGGTACGATCTTTGGGGATACGAGGCTTGATGCGTCCCTCCTTCCATGCGCGATCGACAATGGCGTACTCAATGTTTTTGATAGTGACGGGACTATCAATGAGTCCAGCGACGCATGATCCTTCGCAGGGAGCAGGACAGACACGTCCAGTGAATTCCGGGAAGTTATTAGTTTTGTGGAGTCGATCAATGGCATCTTCCCACTGTCCATCGTAGACGAGGTTGTTCCATTCGGGGATCAAATTGTTGACTGGGCATCCAGTATGAGTTTGGCAAAAGGGTGTTCCACAATCCATACAACGTGCCGCCTGAACTTTGCGTTCCATGTCGGTGTGATATTCTTCATCGGAGGGTGTAGGATTGATCTCTCCCCAATCTTGCACACGGTCCAATGGCTTTCGGTAGGGCTCGGGGTTGCGTTCGTAGTTTAGAAATCCCCTGATTTTTTCGATACTCTCAAAGGAGCCATCACGGCGTTTGACTCTGTGCAAAAGAAGTAGGTAGAAAGAAAGGAGGGAAGAAGAATGAGAATACATCGAATAAGGGGATCTAGATACGGTACCGGTAGGATACCCCAAGAAAAAACACTAGATAACATCGCAATCAAACCCAACCAAAACAACAGCCAACACCTGATAATCAACGAAACCATCAATTGTACTGATCCTAGCGGAGTCAAGGTCCAATAGACCTCCAACATGGAAATGAATGGAAGAGGAAGAAGCCGGAATTGACGGGTAGGATCTCATCTCATTTTGGTGGGTAGCATCCCCTCCAATTCAATCCTTCCTCCCATCTTCTTTCCATATTCCTTCAATTGTTCTTCCAAGATCAAGTTGATAATATCTATCTTGTATACTGTAGTTTCAACACAACTCACTTGGGTTCATTATCGTGATCGTAAATCCCTTCTCTCCAGATCTCATGGCGACCATCTTCACCCAACGGTCCACTGCTCGAACTATCAACCTTGGTACTCAGTAACCTGGCCCTCGATTGAACCGTGGAAGCCACGCGGCGACGCAAGGCAGAGTTCATCAACATGGTTCCTTCCTACTAATAGCACTACCAGCTAGCTAGTAAACAACATGTAAAATGAAATAAGTGGATGAGAGAGAAAAGAGAGAAAGAACACTTCAAAATGCAAAACCAATAAAATGCATCCATCAGATCTGTCGCTGTGCTGGCTTGTTTTGGATACTTCCGAACTTTGGGAAGGATTTTGCAAGTGGCACGAGAACTCCGGGCTGGCTTGAAACTGCAGGCTCCTTCCGATCACCACGTAGTTGCGAAAGAAAGATCCAATAATATGGAGAGTCACAGAACATGTTGCCCTGAATTCCTCTGTCTTCAAAGTACGACCATGACCATCCCAAGCTGCAACTACTTTTGTCCGCGCTGGAAAACATTTTACTAGTCTAGTAAAGACTCTCTGGGCCTTCGAAACCCCCGTGACAATGCTAAATGTTACTATTGAAGATCGTGTCCCTCTTTCTCTTATTTCGAACTCACCAAGAAGAAGAGGTAAATAAATAAATAAGCTTACAAGAAGTCTTGTGTCTTGGTGAATTATCTTTCGACCGTCTGCTGTTGGCCGATTCGCTGCCGACCGCTTCTCTTGTCGAAGAGAGATAGATAGAACCGCCACTGGTTGCTGCCGGTGGCACCAACGATGGCCCTGTTGATGCCGTGTAGAGGAAGAGTGTACTGATAGTAGTGGGCTTATCTAGCTAGCTACTAGAGGAGTAGCGCGATGGCTCATGGCGGCCATTCAAGAGTGGCGCTTTTAATTTACCGGTATAAGCCTGCAAGCAGCTTATGAAACATATTTGGAGAGAAGAGCTCAAAGGTCGACATTGTTTGGTTCTTCCATTATTTCAACAGATTGATGAAGACACACAAGATGCAATAAAGGGCAACAACACCAAAGGTGAAGAAGTGATGAAGTGATCTCGAAGATCAAGGCCTGTTTTGCAGACGCAGTCAACAAGGGATATATGTGGAAGAAAGCGGGCATTAAGTGGCGTCACATTGGATGATCTCTGTCGGAATGTGGTGAAGCCGATGGCTGTGCACGCTCTTGGGAAGAATTCTGGAATGTGCTTAGAGGACGTTTAGAGGACCAATCTGAAAGGAAGTGTTAATCCCTTCAATACAGTCCTTGATATTGCGAACCTCCGCGTCCAAGCCAGGTAGAGATTGTTGTTGTTCAAAAATAAGGCAATGGTGTAGGGACCGCTTACGTGGATCATATTGAAAGTCATGGTTGTTGTTGTTGTTGTTGTTGTTGTTGTTATTGCTGCTTTGATTGCTGCTTCACTGCCCAGAAGACAAAGCACCCACGCAGATGTGGTTTCAGATCGTCGGTTGTCATCACGCTGATTAACCTCGATACTCCTTAGCCAGATCTGAGTTAATCCAAATGGCCACTTCCAGCAGCATTCCTGCAAGTGAATGCATCCCATGGACAACCATGTTCATGGGCATCTTCCAGAATGTCCAAATAGCCATACTCAGCAGCAGTGGGACAAGTAGCTGGGCTCCATGGACAGCTATTAGCTACTAGTAGTGCGTCCTCAGGCCTCATAGCAGGATACCAGTACAGTACGGGTCGGCCGTCGCGTCGTCGGTGAGGGCGATAGTATCCATGACTGAGATTAAAACGTGACTCGTCACTCGACTCTGACTGAGGACTCAACTGGATCCAAAAAATGAGGCCACGCTCGGTAACAACACGGCAATTGGCAATGACCTCAGCACTGTGCTCTCTCTCCTCTCCCTTGTCCTTGTCCTTGCAGAGGTTGTGTTGCGGGCAACTGACCTCTTTACCTCCTTCCAAACAAGTCAAATATATCTACCTGTAGCTAGAGCTCTTCGGTTTCTCGAACATAATGCTAAGGTTGAGACCACTTCAGTTACGATTAGAGAGGAGACCACTGCGATCCCTCCCCGTCCATTGGCAACGGACCCACCTCACGTTGGGATCTCTACAAGTACAAGCGGCCTCTTCTACAACATCAACAATCCAAACTAGATTCTCTCTTACTAGTAATTGGAACCTCCCTGTGAGAAGCTTTTCTTCTTCAAGTCCCAAAAATGATGATCAAGAAGAAGAATCCCAAAGGATACCCAAAGAAAACGACAGCAGCACATCGGATCCCCCCATTCTCACGTGGGTCGACACCTATCTCCCAGAATCGACCAAACCCTATGCTCGTTTAGCCCGAATTGATAAACCGATTGGGACATGGTTGTTGGTATGGCCCTGTTTCTGGTCCACAGCCTTGGCTTCGGCATCCCAGCAACACATGATTCCCGATCCCTTTCTCTGTATGCTCTTTGGCGTGGGGGCCATTACCATGCGAGGAGCCGGTTGTACCATTAATGATTTGTGGGATCGGGATGTCGACCAAAAGGTGGCGCGGACCAAGACACGGCCGCTGGCGGGAGGTGATGTGACCGTGAGTCAGGCCATTGGCTTTTTGGCGGCACAATTGTCCGTCGGATTGGGAGTTTTGGTCAGTTTGCCACACACGTGGTATTGCTTTCAATGGGGCACGGCATCCTTGCCTCTGGTAGCCATGTATCCCTTGACCAAACGATTCTTGCCGTGGCCACAAATGTTCCTCGGTGTAACCATTAACTGGGGCGCCTGGATGGGATGGGCAGCCACGCATGGGAGCATGGATTGGTCCATTGTCCCGTTCCTTTATGGATCGGGAGTGACTTGGACGCTGGTCTATGATACCATTTATGCCCATCAGGACAAGGCAGATGATGCCAAGTTGGGGTTGCATTCCACGGCATTGGCATTTGGTGAAAATGACCAGCAACAAAAGATGGTGCTTCATGGACTGGCAGCACTGACATGGCTCCAATGGATGGCGGTGGGATACAATGCGAGTGACTTTTTGGCCGTGCCCTACTATCAACTTGGCGTCACCACGGCCTATGCACATTTGGTGTGGCAAATCCATACCGCAGACTTTGACAATCCACACAATCTGGCGGCACGATTTAGGAGCAATTCCGCTGTGGGAGCCTTGATTTTTGGTTCCATTGCGGCTGGTGGCTACTTTCAATAACAAATAATAGAGAGCAGTACTCAGGTTAAGCATGGTTCCAACGTTCGCAGTTGATGGCGATTGACTAGCTATGCATTTTCTGAGGGCCAGTGAACCGATGCCATCAAGGTATTACAAGAGCCCAAACCATGGCATCTTCCTCGAGGAAACTGTCAATGCAGCCGGTACAGCGTGGGTGGATTGACTAGCTATCTTCGAGATTGAGATGGCAAACAATCTTCGAGAAGTGATTCCATGAGCAGCACTCCAAGAAAAGAAACGGCACGAGTATAATCTTAATAGCGGTGTTCAAAGGTTGGTTGTTGTGCTTTCAAACCGTGGGTGTTGAGTTTTGTCTGGTTGAATCATTCAATATTGTAACGAGACAGCATGGAGTCGAGTCTGTAGCTGCTCTGTTTTATGCGTCTTGGCCATATTTGATTCTGATCACTCCTTTCTTTGCTTTCATTCCAAGAATCCCCCACTTTCGTGCTTTCAAGTTTCCAGTGCTTCTAACGTGTGTGCCACCACAGGGACACGGAAAGCCAGCCACTGTCACAACCCGTATGTCGGTGGGTACCTCCTTGCCTCCTCCGAAATCCTTCATGTCAAAATTTTTGGCAATACGATTGCAAACTTCATTGGCTTCTGCCTCGGGCAGAGTTTCAATTTTAGTTGGAATATCTTCTTCCACCAATGCCTTGAATGCAGCTTGCAAATCCTTCAAAACCTGAGGGCGTTCATCGGCCACAATGCTTCCTTCATATTCTACATATGGCCCGTCCAGGAAATGGTAGCCTTTGGTCGGTCTCATGAGCTTGCCGCACTTGGCCATGGCCGAATCGACGACATGACCCGCCGTGTGACATTCCGAAAGCAATCGTCGCGTATCGGCATCCACCGCCACACGGACGGGTGTTCCCACGGCTGGCAAACAAACCAATGCATTGGTAGTCTTGCCGCGATGGCTGGCAACCCCCGTGGCACGGTTGACGGTGACCTTGTCCACAGCAATGACCACCTCGCTATTATTGGTTGGTTGACAGTAGGTAATGGTTCCTTTATCGGTGGGTTGTCCGCCTCCTTGGGCGTGCATCACAGTTCGGTCCAAGAAGACTTCAACAGTATCATCATCGCCATCTTTCGTAATGCCCACAATCTTGGAAGAGTTGCATTCCAGCTCGAAATTACCCTCGTAAGAGTAGTAGATCATTTCTGTTGGAGGCAATGCTGCATCGTCGTTTTTTTCTTCTGCCATTGTGGGATATCTATTGAAAAACAATTGCTCAGCAGCGAAATGGGGCGGATTAACAGTACCGGTAGACTTCAAGTGGATGAGGAACAAGGGTGGTCTGCCTAGTTGGATTGAAAGCGGCGGTACTTTAGAATGACACCATGGCTAAGCATGGCTTTGTTTCTTCAACAGAAAAAAGAATTCAGGACAGCTGCAATGCGTTTTTTTAATAAGGCTAAGGATAAATGATGATATCATCAGTCACCATTTCCAACAATGTGCTCTCTGCAGCTGTCCAGCCACTTGGCTGTTGGGAGGGAGCGCACTGACGATGTCGTCGAAGGCTACATGTACCAAGAGGTAAGGGTGAACAGAACTGGCTGTCTCCCGGTTATTAGCTGGCAGCTGGTACTTTGCTTGTCGAACATGGCAGCCAGCCACACATGAGCACAGCTATAGGCGTACATAACCATTCATTGGCCTGGTTTGAAAAGATGGTTAGCTTTGAAGTTCTTGTCGCTCACTCGATGTGCGTGAGTTGGAGATTGGGAGATGCCTTGCTCTCGGCAGTTCTTTTGATGCTCCACTAACCGGCCGCCAAACTGTACATCCAGGCAATGGAACCGGTACACGGCTGACTCAAGAGGCAAGTTAATTAAGCTAAAAGATAAGAGAGACTTGTCGGGATGTGCACCTGGAGTGTGCTCAAAATAGCTGGACCTGTGAAGGCATTCTAGCTATGCACAATACGACTGTAGCATTGCTTGACTGGCCTGGGCTGGCATCGGTCCAAGTCCGTTGCAGGCAACAAATTCGTTGAAAACCACAAAGGTACAAGGCCGTTGCCTCTTTGCGGTCTTGGATGCTACCGGCTTGAGCTCAACTTGCTGGCTTGGTGGTTACTCTTTGGATTTTTGTTTAGTAAATATTACCGAGTATGCTCTTCTTCGATGATTCGCGGTTACAAATGAACAGTCACCGTGAATGTACAATGAATTCAACTGTATCCGTGAAATGGTCGGCGTGGGACATAGGCTTCTTTGCATGTCTGCTGGGACTGCATGGTTAACAGATAGGCATGCACCTTTCTGCTTCCTCACCGGAGTAAAAGATGCCCAGCAGCATACGCTGTAGAAAACAACATACAGTGGTCACAGAGATTCAATAAGCTCCACCGAAACCATCGGAAAGATTTAACACATAATCGAGCATAAGCGCTTCAAGAATTATCAAGATCTATCAAAGGAAAGCATGTTCTAATGCCTAATTGATTGCCAGGGTTTATTTGGCGAATAAGCCAGCAGAAATATAATACTACCTTAACCAGAGGACTATGAAGGAGCCGAATATCAAAGCCTGTTCAACTTACTTCTCTTAAGAGCCAGCTGTTCGCGTTAGATATCCAGTTCCCCGCTATCACCATCGACCGCTGAAATGCCTTTTGCTTCGTCATCCAAGTCATAAGCAGGCAAAGCGCTCTTCTCTCCAGCTCTTGCATGCTTGAGCTAAGCTTATGCTTGCCAATAGAGCACAGCACTGTTGCTATCGTGTCGTGTGCTGTGGGATACAGTTGTTGCATTCATTCCTACATGTCCTTGCAAGGCTGATAGCATTCATTGTGGCTCTTGTGTTATCTCCTGATACCCATATAGTATCCCATTGCTACCCTGCTCAGACAAGAGCAACCATTATCGAGAGGTCTGCAAGGCTCACAAATCCAGCCTTGGACCGTGGCTTGCACCTCATCATTCTTCCAGAAAAAATAATGTGCAGTCCGGTCTCTGACATTCTGCAACTGGTGCTGGATCCGCCCAGTCGATCTCCCAGCCCCAGCCCTCCGTCTCGCATGGCTGCTATGCATATGGTGCTGCCCTCCATACATCCGCTATCAGAACAAAAGAGGGTAACTTTTCGAAGCACACGAACGGAGGTACACATCGAGTCCTTGGCACTGCTGCCGGACGACAAGAAAGATGAACTATGGCACAAGGATACCGATATTGAGGCTTTCAAAGCACGCGAACGACTTCTCTGTGAGGAGATTCGGCTGGGCTTGTCGAACGAACAAAACACACGAGGTCTCGAACTGAGACTTTGTCAGGAACGGCAAAAGCGCAAGTACATGATAATACACGCCATCCTCAGAGCGCAAAAGCGCTACAAGGACCCCAAACAACTTCAACATTGCGGAAAATGCAGTTTGTCTGGTATTCTCTACACTCAAGGCCTGATTGTTATGGAGCTCGTTGGGACGATCCGCCGCTTATCTCTCGATACTTCAGCTCTCGCCAGAGTAGAGGATGACAATCTCGTGGGCTGTACGGATACACTTGGTCCATGCGTATATGCTTATCTGCGATTGTACAGAGCTCACGCGATTGCCTTCACCTCCTGGTCACTATCCGAAATATCCTTGTACGCCTTCACAGCGCGGATTTCAACGTACCGACGCGCCTCACTTTGCCTCCTTTTGTGTTTGTCGGCTCGAACAGCTTCACATCCGCCATACAAGCGCGGGCCCCATTGCACGCGCCGACCCTGCGATTCCGTTCAGGACACCCGCTCCACCTCGCTATCCTCGTCCGGAGGTCCAGGCGCCGCTGATTCTTAGAGGAAATAGTGCGTGCGGATTTCTTATTGTTAGGACAACTGTAGATTGCTGGCTGCCTATAGGTACTGGTACAACGTTATACATCGAGACCGATAGCAACATCATACAAGAGTTGAACAATATCAATTTTGCATCAGTGATGCCATGGATGTCTCTGAAGTAACGCGCCAGGAGTCAGGGACAAATCGTTTGGTTACTTTATCGCGCTCGAGCATTTTTGCTCTCTTCATCGCTCTAGCCGACGTATGTTTTGCACGCCATTCAACAATATGCAGCCCTATGGCGTGATTATGAGGACCTCACGCCTGGTGGTCATACCTCAGGTCACCCAAGTGCGAGAATATAATATGGCAAGCACAGAAATTCTGGTGGATATTCCTGAAATGGCTTCTGCAAGATTGAAGTACTGTAGCGCGCTGAGTCTTTTTCTCTCTAAGGGCCGCATAGTGGGAGCATCTCGCAGATCATTAGAGAGGATACTTTGCCACTTCCTCCAACTCCTCCGCCATATGGCAAGATAAGACTGCTCGATGACAGCATGAGAGCTTTAAATCCTTTATTGATATCTCTCAAAGGGTCACGAAAACTAGAGACTGGCTGTACGTAGATGATGTATCTCAAGATGTCTCGCACATAACGCAGTCGGTCTGATGTAGATTGCGCCTATTGTCCGTGTATTGCTCCATATAGTTAGCACAATCAGAAGTGTGACTGCGATGAGGCCTATGACGCTCTCTTTCGCAGTACGATCGGCAGCAGTGAGCCCTTCCGGTCTGTCGCGTACGCACGCAAACTCAAGTTTAAAAAGTTGATCGTGTTGCCGGGGCAGACGACAGCCCTAAGGTAGGGCTCATACTGGTCTGATCGCATGCGTACATATAGCATACATTAGCCGCACGTGCGTCGCTCTGCGGAATCCTTGCACGCTTGGGAGAAGAGCCCAGTGCCTCAGTGTTCTAATGCGCAGCAGACCCGATTTGAGATTGCACACCGAGCGGCGCGCGGGAAAGGGTGTAGCTGCTCGTGACTCAACTCTGTCCGCGTGGCTTGGACTTAAGCATCTCTCTCTT